AAAGAGTGGACCTGAGAGAATTCAGACTGTCTCACCTTTCTTTAGTGTATTTTGTCATGCACTTAACATTCTCATGGTCCTTCGATGATTTACGTCTTTTAGGGATTCTTGTAAGGTTCGGATTTGCCACATATCTGCCACCCTGCAGCCTCACTGACCCTGGAAATCCAAGTGCTGAACTAGACCACCAGATCTCTGAGAGGAGAGGTGGCCAGGGGCAGCAGCCTGCCCTGCACCCACCCCACGCACCTGCCGTCTTCACACGCTCGTGGTTAGAGTCAGGTCTGAATCGCTCTGGGTCACCTGTACTGCCTGCTTATTGTATACTATTAAATATTGACATTATGCACACTCAGTTTGAGTATTTGGCTTTAGTTTGTCATAAATATTACTTTATTTTATAAGAATTAGTGGTAAACTTACTGAATAGTAACAGAATTAATAGAATTCTTACCCTTTAAGAAACTTAATTTATTGAAGAAGACAGGACAAATACACAAGCCACTTATAAGAACAGGGAAACAGGCTTAACAGATACATGAAAGCAGATCTGATGAAAGATGTGCACCGTGAAGTGGTACTAAAGTGGTCAGAGGCCAGTCCACACTTACGTCACGTTTCCTTTGAGATTGACATCATTCTTTTTTAGCTCTTTACCAAAACTTTATAAATGGTAAAAACAATCTTTCCCTGATGTGTGTCTAGGTACTTTCTATAGTCCCTGACATCCTGAGCCCCCGGCCTCGCCCTAAACCGCCCACACAGAGTTCACGTTAACCGCGTCTGCGTCGGTCCAAGGCTCTTCACGCCTCTGCCTGCTGCAGCTTATCCTGCTTCTGAGTTAGGGAGCTACGTTTGTTGACTTTTCATCTAAAGAGAGAAGGCTTTACAAACGTTGCCTCTCGGATCATGAAGAGGATCATCTGCCAGCTTGTAATTAGGCTCGTGAGTTCCGTTTCCAGCGAGGCTAAGGGCTCTCAGGGTCTGTTGTCAGCATCAGACCACCAAGTTCTCGGGGCCCCAGGACACATCCCACACACGGTTGGAACACCCAGCTGAAAGGACACAATCCTATCCCTCCTTGCTGTTTAGTTAGGGCAGAGAAAAGGTTCCAAAATGAAGTATGGAGAAGTACACCTGTATTTTAGTTTTTATGAGAAACTATATGGTAGATTTCATACTTGGTTTTTTGCTCTGATTTTAATTTTTACAATTAAGCTGTGGGCCAGCAGTTGTTAGAGTGGTTAAGGCAGCTGGATCCCACTTGGCCGACTGTGCAGTTGAAGAACTAGACCCAGCAATCTGAGAAACACACTGAGCACGTGTGCTTGTGTGCCCAGAACCCTGAGAGGAGAGCGGAGAAGAGACCAAACCAAGCATGGCCATCCCCGAAGGCCGATTTCTGACTTTCCCTCTCTCTTCCTCAGCGAGATGCCCTATGGCAAAAAAAAAAGAAAGATGAAGCTTAAAAGGTCATTTTTTACACGTTTAATAAAAATATCAAAACATCTTGCAATGAAGAGGAGTTTTTGTAAATATTTGCATTATAATTTAGTTAAATAAGTTATGATCCAGGTTTCACTTTGGGACTGAGCAAGAGCAAGCATGAGAAGGAAATGCGTTAGAAGATACAGGCCTTAAGAATGGAGAGGATGCTGGGTGGCACGGTGTGCTCATGAGCTACAGCGAGTCTGCGGGGGTGTAACGGGGCCTGCGGAGGGGTCGGCAGTCTGCGGGGGTGTAACGGGGCCTGCGGAGGGGTCGGCAGTCTGTGGGGGTGTAACGGGGCCTGCGGAGGGGTCGGCAGTCTATGGAGCTGTAACGGGGTCTGTGGAGCGGTCAGCAGGCTATGGGGGGGTAACTGGGCCCTGTGGAGAGGTCAGCCGACTCCCCTGAGAGCCAGATAGCAAATGTGTAGATGCGAGTGTGCGGGGGTGTCACGGGGCCTGCGGAGGGGTCGGCAGTCTGCGGGGGTGTAACGGGGCCTGCGGAGGGGTCGGCAGTCTGTGGGGGTGTAACGGGGCCTGCGGAGGGGTCGGCAGTCTATGGAGCTGTAACGGGGTCTGTGGAGCGGTCAGCAGGCTATGGGGGTGTAACTGGGCCCTGTGGAGAGGTCAGCCGACTCCCCTGAGAGCCAGATAGCAAATGTGTAGATTGTGCTGACCGAGAGGCAAGGGGAGGGCTGCTCATAGGTCTTGCAGAACTACCTAAAGCATAACCCTTGGGAAGTGTGGGAACTGTCTAGCTGATCCGTCTTAGGGAGAGAAACAAAGCTATGGTAAGATGCTGCCTCTGGCAGAAATCTAGTTTAAGACAGTGAAATCTGTGAAATACCATATTGAGCCCCTTTAACTTTGTCTAGGGTAAGAATATAGAATGTTACATAGAAAATTAATTTTAGAGTGGGGGGGGGGGGCGGACAAGGAAATAGAGTGTGTGTCCGTAGTGATTTTGTGTATTGGACTGCGAAACATAAACTTGTGCCCTGGGCACGAAAGGACAGTGGTCAGCTTGGTAGGTGCTGTTCGCCTGGTCCTTCCACAGGGCCAGGTCCGTCGTGGAGTGTGAGGTGTGATGACCTGGGTGGTAGCTCTTCCTCGTGCTCTGTCCGACGGGGAAACAAAACTGTTCTCTGAGAGAAGACGAGCATCTTAGTAAGTGTCCTGATAGTTACAGCTCCAGTGAGGACGCCCTGGTGCTCACCTTCCTGAGATTGAGGATGTCAATTTAAAGGTATTATTTACGTAGAAGTTCGGTTCCCTCCACCTGCTCACCACTGTGCAACCTGACCTTAGAGCCAGAGTTGTGTGTGCAGTCAGTCCGCCCACACCTGTTCAGTCGTAACCACACTCCCCGTATTTCAGATGACTCAGTTCATTCTTCATTACAGAAAATCGCAGACAGGAAAAGTCTCCATAGAGAAAGAGCTGGGGCCTGGGGCGTGGGAGCACTGCTGCCCTCGGCCTGCCAGCTGTGTAGTCCCGAGGTTAGGCTGGAGGGGTCAGCTCAGGGCTTCTCCGTGCTGCCCGGAGCGCGGCCCCGCCCTGAGGAGCGTGGTGCGCAGGGACTCTGCAGATGGTGTCCCGAGCCCGTCGGCGCAGGGCCCGTCTGGGACAGGACTGGGTTCCAGCTTGCTTACGAGGTCGGAGAAATGACGTGCGATGTCTGCCGTCTGGTCCAGCTCCCGCAAAGCCTTTGCTGCTTTGACTTTCTCAGACACGAGCAGTCGAATGACATGTTCCTGCTTTAATACCCTAAGTCACCAAAGGAAATGCTCTTTAGAAGATGATGACAAAAGTGGTGACTTTAATGCTTCTCGTACTTGGTTCTTTGTGAGTGACTTAGCTATTGTGTCCCCTCCACTAGATTTAATGTCAGAGGAACAGCAATAGGTGATAGAATAATGAGGTAATTCCGTATGTGCCTTCGTTTTTCATGGCGGATTGTCAGGCCCTTTCCATGGCTAACCACCTCCTATTAACATGGCCCCTCCTGTGTACTTACCGACTCGTGAGTGCCGAGCACTGGAGAGGTTGCCTTTCACACGTCGTACTAGCTGCATGCGCTGCATGGGGATAGAGTGAAGAAGCGTCCTGTGTGAACATGTAACTGACGTTCACTTTCAGACACGTGACATGCAACAGAGCTAACTGTAGTCCGAAATGGTGTACTTATAAGTACAGGATACATGCTTCGAATTTTTCTTTGAATAATGCCACAGTGTTTCTTTAAAAACTTCCCTGGGGGCACCGGCATGTGGTTGAGGTGCTGGACTCCCACGTGGCCGATCATGTTTCGAGCCCTGGACCTGGCAGGTTGCTTTCTCACTTTACTTAAAAAAGAATAATAAGTAAAATTAAATAAATAATTATTTTAAAAAAAAAAAAAAACACTTGGGAACCAACAGTTAGCGTAATGGCTATGGCGCTGGACTTCCACGTAGTTGACCGCGGTTCCTGTCCCGGAACCAGTGGGTTAACTTAAAACTCACACCAGGCGCGTGTGCGTGCGTGCCCAAGATCCCGAGAGGCGAATGGAGGAGAAGGGATTGCAGCGTGGCCCTCCCCCCTAGGGGGTGATTTCTCACTTTCTGTCTCTATGACTCTCTCTGTCTGGCGAGCGCACACACCCTATAGCGAAAACCTCTAAAAAAAAAAATCTCACGCCAGTGGCGTGTGCATGCGTGCCCAGGATCCCGAGAGGAGAATGGAGGAGAAGGGATTGCAGCGTGGCCCTCCCCCCTAGGGGGTGATTTCTCACTTTCTGTCTCTATGTCTCTCTCTGTCTGTCTGGTGAGCACACGCACCCTATAGCAAAAACCTCTCCCAAAAAAAGGGGGGAAAAAAAAAAAACTTGATTGGGCTAACAATTAGCAACTCTTTGTTACTTAAATAATGCTCCTTTTTCTTAAGCTCAGTAACTAAAAACGGACTTGAATAATTCTATACATAGATTTAAGGTTCTGATTTTTAAAAGATAGTTTTTGTTTTTAAGAATTATTTAATTTTACTTATTTTTTGTTATTCTTTCATTTGACCAGAGAAAGGGACAGAGAGTGAGAAACCAAGCTACCGCATCCAGGACTCCAGCTGTGCTTGGCCACGTGGAGGTCCGGCACCGTAACCACCACCCCACTTGCCAGCCCTGACCGCTGTTTTCTTGTAAATAGCTCAGTACCTTGAGTGCCGCACGTCAAGAAGGTGCACCACCCTCGGCTCTCTCATTTGAAGTCTGACAGTGGGGTTCGCTTCGAGTCGGACTTTAAAAGGAACCTCAGGCCCTCAGCCATCTACCGAAGGCCGGTTTCCTGACAGAATCCACCTGTACGTGATTGTAGTGGCACAGATCTGGTTCATGCCGTCTGTTTCTAAAGCAGTGGCACAGAAAGCATAATACATTATCGACAATCAGAACTGTATACTTGGTGAGGAGCCAGTGACATAGAGGTTAAGTCACTGGACTCCCACTTGCCCGACCATGGTCCAAGTTGCAGACCATGTGACTTAAAAGTCACACCAGCATGTGTGTGTGCATGCCCGAGGGCCCAGGAGGAGAGTGGAGAAGGGATTGTGGCATGGCCATCCCCCCTGGAGGGTGATTTTTTTGCTTCCTGTCTCTCTTATCTCTCCAGCAAGCACACGTCCCCTATAGCAAAAATCTAACAAAATCCTTATCTCCCCTGGAATTAGAAAGTTATTTCTTTTTAAAGCTTTACTTTTAAATTATCGCTACATCTGCAGCTGATTTTTGTTTATGATGTGTCTGTACACACGCAGACCTGCATAGAGTTACATAGTTATATCTAGCTACAAGGCAGTATTTCCTTGACTGTGAACACACACTGGCTCTGCTTCTCCTTTAAGCAGTGATGAATGTGCAAGGAATGTAAACTTCTGCCTGAGATAAACAGAATTTGAAAAATAAAGTGTTGCAGGTTGTCTCTGTTGCTCATGTAACTAGTCCTCAGGGACTGGCTCGGGGTTTTATGAGGATCTTACTCTAACCCACTAAGAGTCTGGATGATGGGTGCCACATTATCTGTTTCACCGAATAATTGATAGGACGGTGGCCATCCCCACTCCTCCCTCCACTGCTGCTAACGTGTCCCCCCTTTGCTGACCTGCGGCGGCGCCCTCCAGCTCCCTGCAGTCTGACTGCCTCGCGGGTCCCCATGCAGTGGCTCTCCGTCGCCCACGATGGAGGAGACTCCAGCTGCTCTGCTTGGTCAACGAGGCACTGCCTGTTAGGGCTTTGCCAGGCGTCACTTGAACTTTACCTCAGCCATCCTTGGGGTGCCACTGATTACCTTCAGAGAACCATTGGAGGTCTCCACGTCCATGCTGCTGTCTCGGGCCTCCGTGTCTTTACCTCCTCGGCGGCCTCTGGCTGAAGTGCCCTCCCACCGCCACCGCCATCGCCATCACATGGGCCACGTCCTTTTTTGACATTCATATTAAGCTACTGAAAACAGTTTTTAGACCACCCAGTGACACGGCTAAGGCAGCTGGATTCCACATGGCTGATTTTGCAGTTGGAGTCCTGGACCTAGCTGCTTGAAAACACTGGGGAGTATGTTTGCACACGGAGAAGGGATTGCAGCATGGCCATCCCCCCTGGGGGGAAGATTTCTCACTTCCTGCCCCCCATCTCTCTCCAGCAAGCACATGTGCCCTATAGCAAACTATGAAAAAGAAAAAACGAAATTACTGGCCCACGTATTTCTTTTTTTTTCTTGGAGAGATTTTTGCTATAGGGCACGTGCGCTCACCAGACAGACAGAGACATAGAGACAGAAAGCGAGAAATCACCCCCCAGGGGGGATGGCCACGCCGCAATCCCTTCTCCTCCATTCTCCTCTTGGG